TGTGCACCGGGCCTCTAGTCTATAATAATAAAAGAGTAATATGCTAATTAGACTGGACAGCCAAATGACCTTCTTGACGACCTTCTGGGACAAAGCCAGGGCTGCAAGGGCCGAGCCTCTTGCACGAATTTCATGCATCGGGCCTCAGTACTTCAATAAAAGGCATCATAGTAGAGTCTTCTGGGGCTTGTGTTTTCTCTTGCAGTAATGTTTCTGAGACCGTGTGGGTGCTATGGCGTAGAGTAATGTAGACAGAGCTGCCGTTCATTTATGTTCACAACTCTATATAGTCCACAGTCCAGGCTCCAGGCTCCAACCCTGTCTCTGGACACTTGAGTAACTTCTTCTTTTTCTCTATCACAGAACAATTTTCCAGGAAGATTCTCATACACGCCCCCTTGGTGCACTCAGGTAACTTTATGTCTATTGACTCTAAATGAAGTATCAGGGCTTGTATATTGTATGTCTTTTTGTGCACTTCATTATTTTAGGAATTCATTTTTTATTACATTTTATGAAAGTGTTATTCCCCCAACGGATGGGAAACGAAAACAAAAACAAAACTGGTCCTTGTCCCAGTTTGAGATGCATTGCTCTGGGGAGTGCAGTGGGAGTGAAGTTGCTGGGTCAAGGGTATGCGAAAGTTCAGGAGAGTCCAAATGGCCGACTGCTTTCTGAACGACTTGTGCTGATTTGCATTCCCGCCAGCAGCGCATGAGCGTTCCCACGTTGCGCCACCTCTTCAGCAGCACTCAGTATTGTCCACTTTTTAACTTTGCGCCAATTTCGTGCGTATGGCATCTTTTCATTCCTTTGTTGCTAAGTGAAGTGGAACATCTTTGTATATGTTTATGGGGAGTTTGTACTTCTTCTGTGCTTTTCTGTTTCTGTTCTTTACCAAATTCTTTTTCTTATTGACTCATACGATTCTTTATATATTCTAGATGTTAGTCCCTTGTCATTTCTCCCATTTGATTTTTTTTAGAGGCAGTGGAAGGGAGGGAGGGGAGAGAGAGAGAGAGAGAGAGAGAGAGAGAGAGAGAGAGAGAGAGAGAAACATTGATGTGGGAGAAATACACACAGCTGGGATTGAACCTGCAACCCAGGTATGTGCCAAGCCCTTGTCATTTACATGCGTTGCAGGTATCCTTACCAGTTTGGGGCTTGCTTGAATTTTCTTGGGTGCCTTTTTATAGCAGAAGGTCTAATTTGTAAAGTAATTGGATTTTATCTATTCTTCCTCTTTTTGGCTCCTCTTCGTTCCCCACACATGCTCTCTTCCTGCACAGCCCCTACTGAACTGACAATTCCGGACCGGCACCCTCCAGCCTCCAGGCTCATCTCAGCCCCACTGTAGCCTCAGTCCTTTATTCTGGAGCCTGTGCTCTCACCTCCACTCTTTCCCGGCTGCAGAGACCTCCCCCGGGCGGCTCGCAGAACCAAGTCATCCCCAAACCCCAGCTCCAGCACGACTGCCTGTCTTTAACTAGTTTATTTTTTTGTTTGTTTTTACAGCCCGTGGTGTTTTGCTGCTGTTGTTTTGGTATTGTCCTGGTTTTTTAAATACCTATTGAGCCATGAATTCACAGGGAAGGGGATCCAGCAGCTCGAGCTCCTTCCCGCAGTTCTCACAAGGTGGGCCTCTCTGGGCAGACCAGGCTGGTGCTTCGGTCGAACCCAGGTACCTTGCTCTTTTGCTCCCTTCTTTTTTGTATCATTTCCCTTCACATATTTCAGGAAGCCGTTGTGGCTCTTGGAGTAATTAACATGCCCAGAATGTCCGTTAATTCTCTTGGCAAGCATCTGGCCCTTAACTTGTTTGTTTCCCACAATGCCCACGGGGTCGCACTGTGGACTCGTCCAGTTTTGCCATGGCAACATTTGTGGGGCCTTCCTTTTGAGCAGTGCCCGTTCCCTTGATGTCCACAATACCACCTTTCTTATAGATTCACGTGTAGGTGGCCAGAGGAACAACTCCGTGGTTCTGAAAGGCCCAGGGGACACGCAGCGGAGTCCCTTCCCCTTCCCGTTGTCTCAGCCATTTCGGTGAATTACTAGAAGATGAAGATGCTGCTGAGAGGCACAACCTCCTCTTTTTAGGAGCATCTCCAGGCCCCCATGGCTGAGCCACTTCTTCCTCTAGTCCGTGGGCCCAGGCCTTGCTAGGTATCAGGTGACTTCTAGCATAGGGGTTTCTGACTACTAAAGGGGATCATTTTTCCTTTGGATAAGTGTAATTTATTAAAGAGACACACATGTCAAAACATGGGATTTCTTAGCCATGGGATGTTTGGAAGGGGAAAAGGTGGGGAACCACTGCTTATTTTGCCAGTGATGCCTACCTTATCCGTGTCACCCTCCATGTGAACATTCCCAGGGATAGGAAGCTCACTGACTCCGTGGGCTGGACTGCTCTGATTTCTTTTCTTTTCTTTTTTAAATAAAGCTGAAGAATTCTTTCTTTTTAAAAAAATACATTTTGTTGATTTTTTTACAGAGAGGAATGTTATGCCCAGATTTCAAGATTCCCAAGAGCCCACCAGGGAACCAGCCAGTCCGATGCAAAAGCAAAGAGTCCTTTATTTCAAGCTAGCTTGAGCTCCCCTACCCTCCTTACTGACGCAGCAGCAAGTGGCAGAGAGGGCGAGGCCTGATGGGACCAGGAGTTTTATAGAGGGGTGGAGTAAGGGCGGGAGAGGGGACCGTGGGCCCCGCCGATTGGCCAGGCGCGAGTCGGTTTCTCATTACACAGGATGTGGTCATAGTGATGGAGTGCACTTCCCTTGATTATCATTGGTTAGTCCAGAGAAATCCTGGGTGTGGCTAGCAGAGGCTTCTTCCGGGAAGAAGCCTTTGCCGAGCACATGGCCCTGCCCAAAATGGAGGTCCCAGGGTAAGATGGAGGGCGCAGTCCTCGCCCTTTCACTGACATGTACACATAAGGAACTGTCGGACATTGAAACTTGGACTCAGAACTGTTGGACATTGAAATTGGGATTTAAACATTCTTTATTCTTAAAATGTTATGTTTAAGTTTTACAATGTTTTGGGTTACGGATTGGCATTGTTTTGTTATTGTTTTAATAGCCAGAGTTTTGTTCTTGATGTTTAAGTTTTATTTTCATTATAGTAGCTAATAATAATAATAAAAAAGTGTGAGATGTGGGAAACTGATATAGGGTTGAGCCTCGGACTGACCTGCTGGCAAAGTCACAAACAAGTCCCAGCTTAGAGGGCTCAGTCCTCT